ATCAGTAATATTGTCTGAAAGGTAAAGGCCCTGGTGCAAACTCCAAATGCCAAACTGTCAAGAAGACATAATGTACAGTAACATGTTCTGAGCACTGTGCACAAAGAAGCCTATGGTAAATATTAAATTACAAGCATTTCTGTTCTGTACCTTTATATTTTGATTGTTATTCTCTGCACCTACACACACAGCTCTATACACAGAATACAGCCTGTGGGTAATTTCTTTAGCTGGAGTAAATGATTACTATGGGCGTTACTGATTCACTTTAAACTGTTTTCAGATGCAAATAATTCGATTTTCATCTGACAAGTCAAAAATACAAAGCGTGCTAGTGTTTTTTTGTAACAGTATTTTATATTGTTACTAGTTATTGTACAATTGTACATTGTTATAAGTATTTATACAAAGATTTTGCAGTTGTGATGCCCAAGATTTTTGCACTTGTGATGCCCAATACACTGTCCTTTGAATTAAAAATAGTAGTAATTTATTTTATCATTATTGTTATGATGAGAATTGAATGGTAAATAATGATTGTCTAATAGCAAGTACTGCCTAATGAGCGTCTAAATATAGCCATCTGTACACAGTCCTGGAGCGACATCCATATCTGGTGCACAAAGTGTGGATTTGTCACACGGTTGGCATGACAACTCTGTGGTCAAAACGCAGTGAACAGCTTCAACAGATTGTGTGCATGTGAACCCATCTGAAGTCCAACAGGATGGAGCATGTTAGGAAACAGCTTCTGTTCATCTCCCACTAACGGCCACACATTACGCTTTAGTATGACGATGATTAACCGTTAACTGCCACTCATTTGGTTTTATAAGCTCCATAACCTTCTGTATGCTGAGATCAGCAGGCAGTCCTGGGTGTCTACAGACAAGCACACATGCACATGCCTGCTGTTTCTGTTTATGAAACTGTAAAGTGGTTTATCTGCCATGAAGGGTGTGGAAGAGCATTAGTGTTACCACCTCCAGGACATTGTCAGGGAGCGCAATAAATCAGCTTAAAACTGTGATATCACAAAGCTCTATTGTACTGACAATGACAGCTTTGGGTGCCCACATACACATTCTGTTGCATGGTAACCAGATGAAAGTTTGACCAGCCTTCTATCTTAAGAAAATAAAATGCTCAGCAAAAGTCTTCTTAAATGGTCTATTAATTATCTGTGTGTTATGATTTCAGATGGAGAGCAGGTGCCTAACATTTACAGATTAAGTTTCCACACTTGCTATAAATGTATGGCTTTATGTCTTTTTAATGACAAGATCTCACCTGTGCTTGAAAAAAAATTTCTACTTCATAAAGCTATGAGTTAGGCAATGGTGATGGTGTCATAACTGAATATTGTGTACTTCTGGGTTCAGTCTAATTTTAGTCTCATTCAGTAATGACATTTTGACCAATTTAAACTAGTCCAAGGCTTTCTTAGTACTGCGTTAAAGGTGCACTGTGTAACTTTTCTAGTGGAGGGTCTGCCCCCTTGTCTCCATGGAGATGTAATTGAAATGAAATGTTTGGCAGTATGGCATTAAATGTATCTATCTTTCATTTATTCAATTTAATGTCCTTTTTCTTTGCTAAAGGGGCTAAAAGGCTCACCTCTTCACTGATTATTAATTGGTGGAAATTTTGAGACAACTGATAATATGATATTATCAACAAGTTAACAACTGGACTTACTTACTTGTCACTGATCTCAGCCTGCCTTGTGGGCCCTCCAAGGGTAACATAGTCCACCTTTAAATTTTTAAACAGCACAAAAATAATAAATAGATTCCGGTTTTGCTCTACAATAAATCTAGGCCTCATGTTCTCTTTGCTGTTCCCAGTACTGCAATTTTTGGGACCGAGATGTCCGTTGTTTGTCCACGGAGGAAATGGGCGATATATATATATATATATATATATATATATATATATATATATATATATAATTGCGTTAATTGCGATTAATTAATTACAATCATATTTAGCGCGTTATGTTTTTTAATCGCGTTAATCAAATTTTTTAATCTCTAACTTTACTGTTTCTGTATGCGAGTTGCTTTATTATAAAATCTGTTTTTATGTGTTGCTGGGACAACAACACACACACACACACAAAAAACACATTTATACAATTTTTTTATTTCGGTAATTCCACTCATTGCCGGAAACCCACACAAAACGCGCGCAGTAAGAGCGATGTAAACTATGGTAACGTTGGCGGCGTCAGTCGCACAATGGACGAGGTCAAAGAGCCAGTAAAACAGAGGCAGCAGTGCACTGGTAAAAACACATTCGTGTCTTGGAAATTATTCTCCCTACGTAAAATATAAAAGAAAATAACAAATATAATATCGCCTACAACTTAAATGTCACTGGTGAAAACAACATGCATAGACTCATGATGTCTGCACTACTGTCCTATAGTGACCTGCCACATGAGGGGACACGCACACAAAAACACACAAATAAACACAAACACACACAAACAAACACACAAACACAAACAAACACACACCTTCATCATTGTCATTAACCTGAGAACGCGCATAGACACCGCGCGGACACCGATGTGCTCCCGAGAGCCGCGTGTGGATCGTGTTTTCTCGCGTACGCTGCGTAAACCGCGCTTCCTCCTGTGTGCCTCTAATCCAGAACTAACACCAAGAGTAAAACCAGGACTAATCCAGTCCAGGACTAAACCAGGACTAAACCAGAACTAAAACCAGAACTAAAACCAGGTCTAAACCAGGACTAAACCAGGACTAAACCAGAACTAAAACCAGAACTAAAACCAGAACTAAAACCAGGTCTAAACCAGGACTAAACCAGGACTAAACCAGAGCTAACACCAGGACTAAAACCAGGATTAATCCATTCCAGGACTAAACTAAGACTAAAGTAGGACTAAAGCAGGTCTAAACCAGGACTAAAACAAGGACTAAAACCAGTGATCTCATATATAAAGCATTTCTTTATCAATCATATTTTTAATATGGTTAAGGAAAGACTGGACTTTTTATTGTCTTTAAGTAGACAAAAGTTATTATGTTCAGATTTCCTCGTCTTTGCTACTTTACAGCAAACAGTTTCTTATTCATGGAGACTTGGGCTCAACAACCAATTTGGAGAGATTTGTTAACCAATAAATGACTTTATAAAGTCACTTTTTTTGTTCTATATCAGTCTTTTGATCTGCCACAATAATGTAATAATGAATTTAAATGAAAATACCTCAAATTGAAGGCAGTTCAGCAATTTTTAGGTGAGATTAAAATGAGATTAATTAATTACAGATCATAATTAATTAATCTCTCAATTGTTTTAATCGCATGACAGCACTAATATATATATATATATATATATATATATATATATATATATATATATATATATATATATATATATATATATATATATACACACACATATTGTTGTTGTTGGTACCCCTCTGGTAATGAAAGAAAAATTTACTATTTTCTCTGAAATTACTTGAAACTGAGAAAAGCAATAATAAATAATAGATAATAAATCAGACACTGTTTTTGAATTGTTGTTCAACAGAATTATTTAAAAAAAACTAACTAATGAAACTGGACAAAAATGATGGTACCCCTAGAAAAGATTGTAAGTAACTGGACAATAGGGACATGTTAAACTTTGGTGTGTCCTCTAATTGGCATCACAGGGGTCTTCAAAATTGTCCTCAGTCAGTCTGCCTGTTTAAAGGGGGACAAGCATCATTGTACTGTTTGGAGACATGATGGAGACAACACTGAACATGGACCAGAGAAAGAGAAGAAGAGAACCGTGTCAGGAGAAGGTAAAGACAATAAGACCATCTCCAAGCAGTTTGATGTTCCTGTGATTACAGTTACACGTGTTCTTCAGAAGTTTAAGGTCCACAGGACTGTAGCCAACCTCCTTGGACGCGGCCGCAAGAGGAAAATTTATGATAAATTGAAGAGATGGATCATACGAATGGAACCAAAGAGCCCAGAACAACCTTCAAACTAACTAAATATGAACCTGAAGGGCGAGGTACATCAGTGTCAGATCACACCATCCATCACCTTTTGAGCCAAAGTGGACTTCATACCAACAATATGTGTGTGTGTGTGTATATATATATATATATATATATATATATATATATATATATATATATATATATATATATATATATATATATGTAAGCAACTGCGCAACAAAAAGAGTTTTGAAATAACATAATCACAATTTTGAAATAAGTACAGTGCCTAAAAACACATTGTATTTTCTTTTCAATCTCTGGAGCTGAGGCCTACACTGTGCTGCTGCTTGGTGGGAAATCTCATTCAGGTGCCGGCCGATGGCTAACAAGGTCAAATGACTCTCCAAATGAGACGGAGCATGTCAGGGGCGCAAACACACAGCACACCTGCCATTCAGGCTGCAGCCTCTGCAGTTGCATGCCGCGCCCTCAGTGGAGACACAATAATACAATACTGAGGGCCAAGTGTTTACTGCTGATAGGAATATCATTATACACTGTGGAAATCAGGAAATCACAGCTAAACTCAGTTAGCCAGCTCATGTGGCAATCAATAGAAACCTACACACTTTCTCTTTGATTTCACTCTCTCTCTTTAGACACTCTTTTTCTCCAGTTGCTATAGTGACATGAATTGGCTGCATTCTGCAGCAGTGGATCAGAGCGGGGGCTTGCAGCTTGAGAGCTGTATTGTTTTACATGAGACTTTGAATAGATGCATATAGAGAGGGCTGCAATTATGCAGGGTGACAGTACTCCCTGAATATAACAAGTTAAATGGTATTTAGTGTCAGGTCATTTGTATCAACTACATTACACTGTATACATTTCAGTGACTAACAGAAAATGTAAAGTAACAGAAAACAATATAATACTTTGGTCTTTCTTACAGTGTATGTATACATGGGCTCATTGTTTCACAAATCATAGTAAAAATCTAAAGTAAACTCTTTCTCCTCCACAGTGTGACAACGCCAAGGGACTGCGGGCCTTTTTTGATGCCATATGCTATGGCCCTAAACACCTGATGATATTTGGAGGAGTTTGCCCTTCTGTGACCTCTATCATCGCAGAGTCCTTGGAGGGATGGAACCTGGTGCAGGTATGTTGGCTTTTATTATTGTTGGTCATTTTTGAAAATAACACCTTTGCTGCCACTTTTGTCTGTCTATAATAAAACTGTTTTACACTACCACATGCAGTGCTGCATTGTGCACACAGAGCCTAGCCTACAGAGGAGAATCTTAAGCAGAACGCTTTGACTCAAATGTTGAGATACAGACAGCTATGTTCTTATGAGAGAATGAGTCACTAGGTGACTTCACTGTGCTCAAAATAGCTTCTAGTTGTTCTCAGGATCATTAATACACATTTATAATTAAGCAAAAAGCCTGGTTGATGATGACAGCCTTTTGTTTAAAGCCATTATGTTGCATGGTGTGTTTTTAGACATTTGAATGCATCTGTTTGTTATTCTAGTTTGTTTCATTGCTCAAACCACACAATTTTAGCACATTAATTCTCTTTAGGCTAGGCTGTTTTTCAAACTATAATACATCAGATATAGCCCTGGTTTGTGGGGCACCCACATGAACAGATGGTATTTTAAAATAGACTATGCCAGAGGCCTGTTTCAATATCTGTCCAGGGCAAGAAGAGGGTCGATCTGAACTGAAAGTGCTTTCTTCACCAGCTTGCTTGGTTGTGTACACACACTTGTTTGTCTCAGTGCCGAGCTGAAGTAAGATGATGGAGAGCAGAGGAAAATGGTGGATAGAAACATGGCTGATGGACAGATGGCGCCACATGGATGGAGGCAGTGACAGAGGAACAGGGTGACGGCAGCAAACACGGAGCTGAAAAGTGGGATTCAAAGAAATGCTGTGAGAGGCAGCTGTGTTTGTGAGCAGCCATCAGCACAAATGCCTCTGATTGCACTATTTTATTTTCCGCACACAATGCTTTCGTTTGGCAGCAGTGTGGCAGCACTGTGATTAATCTTGTGTTTTCCTCACATGACGTGGGTAAGAAAGCCTTTGGCACAGATCTCAAACCATAGCTGGCACAGGTATCTGTTCCCACCAAACATGCTGTGATTCAGTGAAACTTAGGAGTGGCCCTTTGACTCTCTGTACTGAGGTCTGGTTGTGTCGGCACAATGTAGATGGCTCACTGACTGTCAGGAAGTGGCCCGAGCAAACCACTCGCCCCTAACTGGCCCCTTTATCAGCAGGGCCACTGTTCATTTCCAGCCACATTGTCTGTGTTATAAACAATTATGCTTCTCAGTTGTTATTTTTATTTTTTATTTTTTTGGAAGATATAAGAGTAAATTTTGATCTGTCTGAAGGGAAGACATTTAATATCAAGCACAATTATGTGAGCAGTCATTTTAAAGCTGTAATTGTTTTGTGTCTTCACATGACGTTAAACCCAATACAACACTGGAAATGTAGTGAGGCTTATTACCATTAAGAAGAAGACATAAAGCAAATATTGACGTTCATTTGAAGCCTGTTTTTCTTGGATACTTGCTCTATTGATCAGTTCTTCATTAACCGGTTGTTTGGGTAAAGGGCACTTTAATCAGAGTCACCTTGTGTTTGTTTGAAACCTGCACACACTTAGGATCTCCTTTGCCATTTGGTTCTTTCACCCTCCTCACAGAGTGCTTCAGTGAGTCTTTCAATAAAACATGTGACACTGTCGTATTCTGCCTTGCCTACGTCAGAGCCTCCTGTGCACTTCATCAATCTTTCATTACTTTCAAAGTTTAATCTAAAATGGTGCACATGACTGGATAGTAAGAGTGTCAAAGTATCTCTATCAATACGCTCCAAACTTGTAGGATCAATTAAATCAATAGCAAGTGTATAACTTTACCTTAGTATTAGTCTGTGATGAAAGCATTTTACAGCCTATAGGTGTGATGTTTGTTTAGGATTTTGTCAGATAAGTAGCAGAATTTGAAATAGGCTAGTTAAATTGTAATATGTGAAAAGATATGTGAAAAATTGCATGTCAACTTTTCTCAGTGTCTCTTTTTCTTGTGCTCAAGGGAATACAGGCAGAAAGAAGATATTAATTACATGCTAGGAAGAGCTAATCAGATGTTTTTGTCATGAGCGCCGCCTGTGCTGGTAGACTGCAGCACCCAAACTGTCGCATTCACTACTGTTGTACCTATTCCCAGTGCAAAATATATATATAAAAAAAACAAAACGCACAGTAATTAACTCATTAACAACATTTGTTGAATGCAAACCATTAGCAGCTTAGATGTGATGTTGCAACTGTTGGTGCCATATTGAGGAAACATGATACTTCATAGGCACTCAGTGAGAGCATCGAGATTTGACTATTTTGCTTGTGTGTGCTGTGGAGCTAGAGTGAATGAGTGTCTGCTACCACGAATGCCCCATTTTTAGATACAAATCACTGACCTATGCAGACATTCATGCATTCAGAGAGTAGGGTCAAATTTACACTTTGGAATACTTGAGGGTCCACACTCAAACACCATATTGGGATTTATTTTATTTATTTAAAGTTCCTTTATAATGCAAAATTGTCTCTTGTGAACTTTAAATCATGTTATCATGGTTAAATCATGTTGTTACCTCCTCAAAAACATGCCTGGAGCTGTGCTTTGCTTTATGCACATGTTTTGTAATCCTTTATAATTAGTTTATCTGCAGCTCAAAATGCTTTGTTCCACCTTGTGATGTCATGTAGTGGTAGTTTTCAAGTTAACAGTAACCCTTTATCTTTTGGTTAGTAGAGATAAGAAATTTCAGGCCTGAAATTATCCAAATGATTCTAATTGAAAAAAATAAAAACAAAAACGTGTGAATGAATGTAACAAAACACAACTCTGGGTATGTTTCTGATGAGGAAACAACATTATAACATTACAATTATAGATCAGAACATAGTGTAATATGGGCCTTTTAATGAGACAAGGACCGTGCACGATATACTTTTACCTGAACAGGAGAGATGCACTCTACCAGGTTGTAGCATTAGTCCTTATTTACACCCTTGAGATTGGGTGCTAACAATTTTGCCCCATTATTTGTAATTAAGATCAAAAAGAGCTTTTCTTTCACAGATAATACACTGAACAATACTCCAGTTCTAAAATGTTTTGAATCATATTTTGAAAATTCATGAGGGCCACTCATCTCATATTATTATTTACTTGGTTCTGCCCATTTTGGTAAGACCCTTAGAAACCTTGTTTAAACAGAGCAGTGGTTGGATATCAAAGAACAGTTCCATTACAAGCCATTAAAACCAGAAGGGCTGCTGCACAGTGAGGCTAGTGGATCAATACAGGGCAGTTTAACTGTCTGACACAGCTCACTAATATCTGAAACATCAACTCGCTGTCTTCTGAGAGCCTAGGAGGAGGGAGCCCCGACCAGCAAACTCACAGCGGAAGTGGAGTGAACGAAGTCTCCTAGTGGTTCTGAGTGCTTTCAGTGCTTTCCATTCATTCTCCCTGTATATATTGCACTCTCTGCCTGCACTATATTAACAATTTAATATTATATACAAATTACTCAGTTTTACTCAGTGTTACTTTTGTACTGATAGGAGAATGTTTCATTGGAGAAAGCTTTAGGCACTGTGCCATGATAAGATGTCCCAGAATTGTCATTGGCTGTGGTTAGGTCTGCGGTTAGCCTCACCCTTTAAACCATGTTAGCGCTGAAGTTCACTGGGACTTTGATGACTGCTACTGATTGTGTCCACACTCATAAAAACCTTGAATATATTACAGTAATACAAAATACAAAGTAAAAAAAAAATTACATAATCTCTATAGACATGCTGAGATATGTGTACTGGCCTAAATAGTAAAATACCTCCCAATGAAGTTGAGTGTTTTATAACAGGTTACCAATGACTACACCTTAATTAGCCTTGGTAAAGGTAAGGTAAGGTAAACTTTACAGTCCCCGAGAGGAAAGTTGTCTTGGGCTCCAGTGCCACTTTAGCTACATGAAACAGGTGTGCACACACAATCACAGTTAGTCACACAACATTACACAGATACTTACAATTCAGGTCCAGATACAAGCATTATATGCTTCTGTTTGAAGACTGAACAGATCAACAGTTCAAGTCTTGTCACAATCATCAAAACACACTATAATACAAAACAACCACAGAAGGTTTAATTCATAATAAACATATATCTTATGAAGAATGATTAAGGCTTAGTAACTACTTAATTCATGGATTGGTGCTATTAAAACTGTAATTGTTATTATAAATTAAGTTATATTTTTACTGCAAGACAGGAAGGCAGGACACCCTCTTCAGTCTTAACAGACAGTGCAAACTATATGACTCATAGTGCATTGGGTTTGGAAAAGTATGTTTTATATATAAATGTCCTGAGTTGCAGTCAGTCTGGCGCAGCTGAGTTTAAAATTTTAATTCAATCCTTTTAGTGGTTTGCAAGCAGCAGGACTGAAGAGACAAAGCCATGTGAAAATCAGCTGCCTCAAAATGCCTTTCCACACCTCCATCCTCACAACACAGTTTTCTTTAGGTACTCAAACCCTACCTGCTCTAAATAAAATAAAATAAAGTAACTCTAACTCTAACCCACATATTTGTTCATGAAGTGATGAGCAAAAAACCAAAGTGAAAGTGGGCTGTGTGCTCTCACCAGCTCACACGTAGATTCATTCTCAGCTCGTGGAAACGAAGAAATACCCCTGGGGTATTAAATACACTGGGTGTTAGCTCTGCTGAGTGCTGCCTCTGTCTACATGCAAAAGCATTTGCCCTTCACTTTTAGCGCCTGAAAAAAAAAGTGTCTAATTGACCACAACACTGTTTTGACATTTGATTCACTCTTAATTTTATGAGCTATGAGTTATGGGGCAGTGGCCATAGTCACAAGTCTGAATGAGAGACATGCAAACAATCATTCACTTAACTCTTACAATAATATCATTTAAATTTCTTTTTTTGCAGGTGTGAGTATTGGCACGGTGGTCTAGTTGTAAGATTCTCATTTGAAAATGGCATTGTTGTATCATAGGGTACATGGTATATAGGTGGAGTAGCACCTTATCCCTACAC